TCCACATGTCGCAGAGCAGCTTGAGCGCCGCCTGATTGGGGAGCATGGGAGATGAGGAGGCTCGAACGGGCCATGTGCAAAACGCATTGGGAACGGAGGCGCGATGGCGCAGCAGGGGGAGAAGAACATGGATGGCTCCCCATCCACCTCATAATCCTTTTGTTGCTATTGTTCCTCCTCCTCCTCCGTTTCCGTCTCCTCCTCCTCCTCCTGTTCCTTGTCCTCCTCCTCTTCCTCCTCCTCCTCCTCTTCCTCCTCCTCCTCCTCCTCCTGACTCTCTCATCCTTCTCAGCGCCCTCCTGATCATCCTCGCCCTCTTCATCCTGGACCTCATATTCCTGCTCATTCTCCTCTACTTCGGGTTCTCCTGCCTGTCCTTCTGCAGCGTTGGAACGCAAAGCGACAACACCCTTCGGCAAGGCGTCAACAAATGCGGTTGCGTCGACGGCGTCGGCTGAACCCAGTCTCGCGGGGTCTTCCTAGGCCTCTCTCGGGGCTCTCTTCTCCTGAGATCTTCTTGGGCTCCTTTGGGAAGCTCCTCGCGGCTTTGAGGCCGTCTCGGTCAGTGCTTCGAGAGCGCCAGGACGGAACCAAAAAAAGCTTCGTAGTGTTCGTTTTGAGGGGCGCTCACAACGAACAGAGCGCGGCCTCTCGCGGGGTCTTCTTAGGCCTCTCTCGGGGCTCTCTTCGAAAACCCTGAAATCTTCTTGGGCTCTTTTGGGTGGCTCCTCGCGGCCCGGGCCGTCTCGGCAGGGGCCTCCAGGGCGCCGGGACAGAACCAAAAAACGCTTCGTGGTGGCTCGTTTTCCAGGGAACATGTCTCTCGCGGGGTCTTCCGAGGCCTCTCTCGGGGCTCTCTTCGGAACTCAACTCCCGAGGTCTTCTTCGGCTCCTCTGGGAAGCCCCTCGCAGCTCCAAGGCCGTCTTGGAAAAGGCGCAGGGGCCGCCAGGAAGGAACCAAAAAGAGCTTCCCGGCGTTCGTTTTGAGGATCGCTCAAAGCGAACAGTGCCCAGTCTCTCGTTGAGCCTGTCTGGGTCTCTCTCAAGGTGCACGGAGCCCCACCTGCGGAAGAATTCTGAGCGCCCCCTGCAGGCCAAAAGAGCGCTCCGAGGCAGCTCGAAAAAGCGCGAAGCGATCGAAAACAGCCGCGAAGATGGTCCCAGAGGGGCCGACAGGATCTCTAAAGGGCCCACGGGGGCCACGAAGGGCGTTCTTGGGCCGGCGGCCGCTTTGTTACGACGGGCGCTGGGGCATCGATCGCGTCGATCGCTCGGCGCCGACGGCTGGCAAAGCGCGCCAGCGCGGCAGAGAAAGAGAGACAGAGAAGAGAGACAGAGAGACAGAGAGACAGAGAGAGAGAGAGAGATAGAAAGAACGAGAGAGAGAGAGAGGGAGAGGGAGAGGGAGAAAGAAAGAGACAGGATGGGCTCAAGGCGGGCTGAATCTGCAGGAGAGAGGAGGAGCCCGCGCTGGCGGGCTGAGAAAATAACGCGCGGCTCTTTCGGCTCACGCAGGACGGGCCTCGGCAAGGGGTCGCAGGCGACGCTCGGCAGGCGCGACGGCGGCAGGCGCGACGTGCGCCAGCCGAAACGGTGTTTTGGCACAGGAGCTTCGTCGCGCAGCTTCTTCAGAAGGCGTTGATGAAAACGTCCGGGAGATTGGCGAGCTTGTCGTAGAACTAACTCTTTCACTGGGCCCTCGTCGGGCAAGCTGTCGAGGTCGACGGAGACATGGGCGATGACGTTCCGGAGTGCGTCGTCCCCGAGGACGGACAGGAGCCAAGTCTGGTTCTCTTCATTGGTCACGTCTGCCTTGACCTGCGCGGTGACCCTCAGGTTCGGATCCTCCGCTTGCTCGGGGCGCGGAATCCCTGCAGCGTCGAACCTCGCGCGGTACGGGTACGCGCGGCCTGTGATCCCCAGCGCAGCTTTCGTCGACTCCGCGGGGACTTGCATGTCGATTTCCACGATGCGAGAGGACCCAGGGGGCATGGCTTCGAACGGCGACGCGTCCGTGAACGCGGCTGCGGGCAGCACCGTGGTAGCCGTTTTCGCGTTCGAGAAATGGTACTCGCCGAGGTCCACGTTCGCGCATGGGTGGACGGTGACCTTCAGATCCGCTGCTGCCTTCCATGGCCTCTTGTCGGCTTGGCGCTTCTGCTCGACGCGCCAAGCAAAGAACGTGTCGAGCAAGGCGAGGGCATTCTGCAGCTCGCGAGGGGAACCTGCTACCCAGAACGTCACCTCGTACGGTTGGAGCGGCAATTCCTGCTCGTTGCGGTCAGGGCTTGGCGGCGTGCGCACCAGCTGTATGTTGGACTGCTCTTCGACTTCGGTGAGGCTGGACGGCATGTCGAGGTTCGACGCGTGCAGGTCCTTCAAGAAGTCGTTGAAGCAAGAACTGATGGTTGTTTTCACAGACGGATTGGCGTTGTGGCCGACGCGGATTGGCCACAAAGGCGAAGGCGGGAATGACTCAATGCAGTCGGAGGCCGAGTCGGACCACTTCCAGACGCGGAGCGTCACTGGCGCGGTTGGCGGGCGCGGGTCAGACGAGGAAGCGCGGTTCGTCACCGGGGCGCCGAGGGACGTCAAATCGAGCTTTGGGCGCGCCTTCCGCGGGGAAGCTGCTGGAGCGGCCAGTGCTGACGGCGCGGTAGCTGACCCAGAAATACGAGCCACCTTCTTCTTGGCGATCGTCCATCGCGATCAGAAGCGCTGACGGGCGTGGTGCCTTGAAGAAGGGCGCGTGGGCGAGGGGTGCTCGGCTCGGCCTTGAGCCGAGAAGCTGCGGCGACCGCTGCGAAACTCCGCAGGGCACAGCTGGTGGATACGTACCTGGATATAGGGTGGAGCTGTGGCCCGATGGCATGTCTGGGCGAACTACCACCCGGGGCTTGCGCGGTAGCTGGAAACAGAATCTCAGAGCGAGGCGAGGATCTGCAGAGATGTATAGGCGCGGTAGGCAGGCTGGAAGGTGGAAGCCGCGGCGTTTGATCTGAGGAGCTCGCGCTCGTCAGGCCTTTAGGGCAGCGAACAGGGTAGGATTCCAGGGGGGCGCGGGGGGGGCGGACAGAGGAAACACCCAGGAAACGGAGGAGGAGGAGGAGAAGGAGGAGCAGCAGCAACAGCAGGAGGAGCATGAGGAAGAAGAGGGGAAGGAGGAGGAGGAGGAGGAGGAGGAGGAGGAGGAGGAGAGGGAGGAGGAGGAAGCGGAGGAGGAAAAAGGACGGAGGAGGAGGAGGAGGAGGTGGAGGAGGTGGGAAGGAGGAGGAGGAGGAGGAGGAGGAGGAGGAGGAGGAGGAGGAGGAGGAGGAGGAGGAAAAGGGCCCCGAGGCAGCGCAAAACAGCGCCAAGGCGGTCCAAGGCGACGCCAAAGCAGCTCAAAAACGAAACGATGCTTTTACTGCCGGCCAGGGCCCGCGCGGCAGTAGAAAAATGGCTGCCTATTGGAGAAGCCTGACGGCCGGTGCCGCCGACCCTGACCGAAAAGGGCTAGGAGTGGGAGGAGGAGGAGGAGGAGGAGGAGGAGGAGGAGGAGGAGGAGGAGGAGGAGGAGGGAGGAGGAGGAGGAGGAGGAGGAGGGGGAGGGGGAGGGGGAGGAGGAGGAGGAGGAGGAGGAGGAGGAGGAGGAGGAGGAGGAGGAGGAGGAGGAGGAGGAGGAGGAGGAGGAGGAGGAGGAGGAGGGGGGGAGGGAGGAGGGAGGAGAGGAGGAGGAGGAGGAGGAGGAGGAGGAGGAGCAGGAATAGGAGCAGGAAGAGGAGGAGGACGAGGAGAAGGAGGAGGAGAGAGGAGGAAGAGGAGACGGGGAAGGAGGGAGGAGGAGGAGGAGGAGGAGAAGTGCATCCTTTGTGTGCCCGCTCGAAGAAAGTGCGCCCCAGGAGTGTGATATTCTGACTTGGGACGTGCTCCCGGAAGAGGAAAAAGTGCATCTCGGGCGTGCCCGCTCGAGGAAAATGCGCCCTAGGGGGGGGAGGGGGGGGGGGGGGGGGGGGCATTTCACTCGGAGCCCGCTCCCGGGACGCCTCTGCGGGAGGAGGAGGAGGAGGAGGAGGAGGGGGAGGAGGGGGAGGGGGAGGAGGAGGAGGAGGAGCAGGAGGAGGAGGAGCAGGAGGAGAGGAGCAGGAGGAGGAGGAGGAGGAGGAGGAGGAGGAGGAGGAAAAGGAGGAGGATGAGGAGGATGAGGAGGAGGAGGAGGAGGACCAGGAGGAGGAGGAAGTGCATCCCGTGCGTGCCCGCTCGGGGAAAGTGCGCCCTGGTGGGCGTCGTATCTGCCCCGGGACCCCCCCCCATGCGGGGAAGGGATCAAAGGGGAGGGGCTTCCCTTCGACTCCACTAGAACGTCGTTTAATTTCGCTTTGGGTAGCGCGCTTGAGGAGGAGAGCCCTGGGAGGGGGGGAACGGAGACGACGGAGACGACGAGTCGAAGGGAAAAGTCCCTCACACACGCCGACAGGGTCGGCGGATTTGATGCGACGCCCAAAATGGTTCTGAAGAAGGGCTCGAAGAAGGCCCCGAGGCAGCAGCAAACAGCGCCACAGCGGTCCAAGACGGCTTCTAATGCAGAGATGTTTCTACTACCGGCCGGGGCCGGTGCCGTAGTAGAAAAATGGTTGGTTATTTGATGTAGAACACGGCCGATCGCTACGAAACTCCACAGGGCACAGCTGATGGATGTGTACCTGGATATAGGGTGGAGCTGTGGAGCTGGGAAACTCCTGTTCCCTACTGGAGAGGCCCCTGCCGTGGCACTCCTGTTCCCCGAAACATCACGAAAGCGGCTGGGGTCCGACGTCGCCCGGCAGCTCGGCCAAGTTCCGGCAAAATGTTTGGCCACAGGAGCGTTTCCCAAAAAGGCACGGGGCAGAAGCGGCGGCGATTAGCCGTGGGCCTTGTCGATGAGGAACGAAACTTTCTGCGGCCAAAAAATGGAAAAAGTTGCCTCTCTAGGGTCTGTGTTGGGGAGGTCGTGGGGGTGTCTTTTCTTATGCAGGCACGTCTTACCAGTTGCCAGACAGCAGCGGGCTGAGGCTGCCGACGGCGTTGAGGGCGCGGCCGCAGGGGTGCGCCACAGGTTCGGCGTCGCGCAACGCCGCAAGCACGGTCTGCTCTGTGGCGTCCACGCCGAGCTCGCCGCCGCGCAACGCGCGCTCGTGCGACATCCCTTCGGCGAACACCGTTGTTCCGAGCCCCTCGCGCCTCAAGACCTGCCCCCGCTGCTGGCCCGACAGGGCAGTGGCGTCGAAGGCAGTAGTCCATCTCGGGCCATGCTGGCCCAGCGCTCGCGCCAGCTCGCGGAAGCATACCTGCAATCCGCGGTCGAGCTGGCATGTCCACTGACACAAGCGTGTCCCCGTGAACCTCTGGGCTTTTCTGACGCGGGCTGCCTGGGCAGCAGAATTGGAGGCTCGCGGCCGAGGACGTCCTCCGCGAACCTCATCAACAAGGCCGCGAACAACGACGGCACCCTCCGAACCCCAGCACGGCCTGCCCACTCAGGGAGCTTCAACTGCGGCTTGCGGCCTCGAACGGGCAACGCGCCGAACCCTGCGGTCGCGCGAAACGGGGCATGTATACTCTGTCTGTTCCCGGGTGTGCCCAGCCTCTCTCGGGGGCTTCCTGGGCCTCTCTCCGGGGTCTTTCCGAAGCTTCTGAACTTGTCTTGCGATCTGTTGGGGGGTCCGTCGCGGCTCCCTGGCCGTCTTGGAAGGGTCCAAGAAGGCGCCGGGGGGGGGGGGCAAAAAAAAATCCGAGTTCGTCGTTCTGAGGGGCGCTGACAACGAAGAGGGCCTATCTCCTCGTGGCGCCTTCCTGGGCTTCGCTCGGGGATCTCTTCGAAGCTTCCGACGTCTTCTTGGGCTCCATTGGGAAGGCTCAGAAACTCGGGAGAGAACCGCGGGACAGTCCCAGGAAGGTTTCGCGAGGGGCCCCATGAGAGGCTGAGCACTGTTCGTTTTGGGCGCTCCTCAAAACGCACACCTCGCATCTCGTCGCGGCCTCTGCTGGCGCCCCCCCCCCCCGCCCCCAAGATAGCCTTGGAGCTGCGAGGGGCGCGCGAAAGGATGCCGAGAAGACCTGAGGGCCTTCGAAGAGATTCCCGAGAGAGACCCGGACAGGCCCCAGGAGAGACTGGGCACTGTTCGTTTTGAACGCTCTTCAAAACGAACGCCTGGAAGCTCTTGTTGGCCCCCTCCCGGCGGCCCCTGGGCCCCTGTCCAAGACGGCCTTGGAGCTGCGAGGGGCTTCCCAGAGGAGCCGAAGAAGACCTTGGGAGTTCCGAAGGGGGCCCCGAGAGAGGCCTAGGAAGACTCTGCGAGAGGCCAGGCGCCGTTCGTTTTGAGCGCCCCTCAAAACGAACACCTCGAAGCTCTTTTTGCTTCCGCCCTGGCGCCCTCGAAGCCCATGCGATGCCCCGAAACCGCGAGGGGCGCTCGAAAGTACCCCGAGAAGATCTCAGGAGCTTGGAAGAGAGCTTCGAGAGAGGCCGAGGAAGGGCCCGCGAGAGGCCAGGAACTGTTCGTTTTGAGCGCCTCTCAAAACGAACACCTCGAAGCTCTTTCTGGACTCGCCCCGGCGCCCTCGAGCCCCTGCCAAGACGGCCTTGAAGCCGCGAAGACTTTCCAAACAAAGGCCAAACATATTTCAGACACTTCGAAGAGAGCTTCGAGAGACGCCCATGGAGGCTTCGGGAGAGGCCAAGCACCGCTCGTTTTAAGCGCCTCGCAAAACGAGCACCTCGAAGCTCTTTCTGGCTCCGACGTGGCCCCCATCGAGGCCCCCGCTAAGACGGGCTCCAGAGGGGGCCAAGAAGATCTCCGGAGCTTCAAAGAGAGCTCCGAGACGCGCCGAGGAAGGCCCAATGAGAGGCTGAGCACTGTTTGATTTGAGTGCTCCTCGAAACGAACACCTCGAAGCTCTGGCTGGCCCCCTTTCTGGCGCTATTTGGCCCCTTCCATGACAGGCTTGGAGCCGCGAGAACCTCCCCAATGGAGCCAGAGAAGAATCAGGAGCTTGGAAGGGAGCCCCAAAGAAAAGTTCAGAAGCTTCGGAAAGATCCCGGAGAGAGGCCCAGGAAGGCACTACCAGGGGCCGGGCACGCTCGGGAACAGAGGGGGCATACACTCCACGCTTCGCGTGGCCGCAGGGGTCGGCGCATTGCCCGTTCGAGGCCGCGAGCCGCAGCTCCCTGAGTGGGCAGACCGTGCTGCGGTTTGGAAGGTGCTGTCGTTGTTCGCGGCCTGGTTGATGGGGTTCGCGGAGGATGTCCTCGGCCGGAAACCGCCAGCTCTGCTGCCCGAGGCTGCCCGCGTCAGAAAAGTCTGGAGGTTCACGGAGGCGCGCTTGTGTCAGTGGACATGCAAGTTCGACTGCGGATCGCCGGCATGCTTCCGCGAGCTGGCGCGGGCGCTGGGCCAGCATGGCCCGGGATGGGCCGCTGCCTTCGACGCCGCTGCCCCGTCGGGCCAGCAACGGGGGCAGGTCTTGAGGCGGGTAGGTATCGGAGCGACGCCGCTCGCACGAGCGCGCGGTGCGCGGCGGCAAGCTCGGCGGAGAAACCGCGAAGCAGACCGTGCTTGCGGCGTCGCGCGACGCCGAACCTGCGGGCCACCCTGCGGCCGCGCCCTAAACGCCGTCGGCAACGGCAGCCTTCTGCAGGCTCGCAACTGGCAACTTGCCACGCGCGCCTGCACCCAACAAGCGCCGCGACAAAATCCCGCGCCATGGCGGGGCTCTCCTCGAAGCTCCCGAAGTCGTCTCGGTCTCCTTTGGGGGGCCCCTCGTAGCTCCAGGGCGGCTCGGAGCGGATCGCGAGGGCGCCGGGAGGGAAGCAAAAACAGCTTAGAGATGTTCGTTTTGCGGGGTCTTCAAAACGAGCAGTACCCAACCCCTCGTGCGGCAATCCTGGGTCTCTTTCGGGGCTCTCTTCGAACCTGCTGACTCTTCTTGGACTGCTTTGGGGATGCTCTCGCGTCATCCCTGGTCGCGTTCGAGGGGCCGCGAGAGCGCCAGGAGGGGCCCCAAAAGAGCTTCCAGGTGTTCGTTTTGAGGAGCGCCCAAAACGAACAGTGCCCGGCCTCTCGCGAGGCTTTCCCGGGCATATCTCGGGGCTCTCGTCGAAGCTCCCGAGGCATTCCTGGGCTTCTTTCGGGGGGCCCTCGCAGCTCTACCGCCGTTTTGCGGGGGGCGAAGTAGCGCCGGGGGGGCGCCAAAAAAGAGCTTCGAGGTGTGCGTTTTGAGGAGCGCCCAAAACAAACAGTTCCTAGCTTCTTGGGGGGGCTTCCTGGGCCTCTCTCTGGGCTTTCTTCGAAGCTCATGAAGTCTTCTTGGGCTCCTTCGGGGGGCCTCTCGCAGCGCCGAGGCTTGTTTGGAGGTGACCACGACGGCGCCAGGAGAGAATTCAACAGAGCCTGGAGGTGTTCGTGTTGAGGGGCGCCCCACACGAACAGTGCCAAGCTCCTCGCTGGGCCTCCCTGTGCCGCGCTCGGAACTCCTTTCGAAGGTGCCGATATCCTCGCGGGTTCCTGCGGGGAGCTCCCCGCGGCCCCCCGGCCGTCCAAGCGGGGCTGACGAGGGCGCCGGGACGGAACCGAACAGAGCTTGGAGGTGTTTGTTTTGAGGGGCGGTCAAAACGAACAGCGCCCGGTCCCTGGTGGGGCCTCCCTTCGCGTCACTCGGGGTTGCTTTCGAGACTGCTGGGATTTTTTTTGGCCCCTTTGAATTGCCTCTCCCGGCTGGGGGGCCGTCGTGGCAGTTACCGCGAGGGCGCCAGGGCGGAGCCAAAAAACAAGTCGCGGTGTTCGTTTTGAGGAGCTTTGACAACGAACAGTGCTGGGTTTCTCGCGGGGCCTTCACGGGGCGTCGGGGCTCTCGTCGAAGCTCCTGAAGTATTCTTGGACTCCTGAAGGGCGGCCCTCGCAGCTCCTAGGTCACTTCGAGGGGGCCAAGAGCGCGCCAGGAGAAACCTCGAGGAGCTCGGAGGTGTTCGCTTTGAGGAGCGCTCACAACGAACAGCGTTCAGCCTCTAGCGGGCCTCCGTGGGCCCCGCGCGCTGCTTCTTCCGCCCCGTTAACCTGGCCCTTGCTTCGCCACTGTCTGCACTTGCGTTCGGGGAGAAGGAGGCGCGGGCGGGGAGGGAAGAAGGGGAAAGCAAGGGGGGCGGAAGAAAGCGCAGCCGGACGCGCGAAGTCTGAAGCGCAGAAACGGCGTCAGCCATTCAATTCGCTCACGGGAATGCCAACTGCCGCGAGAAAGAACGAAAGAACATCCTCGTAGTGCGCGCGCCGCTCGTCGCTACCAGGTCGCCGTTCCCGTGTCTCGCCCCCCCACTTCCTAGTCTCGCAAAGGAGGCTCTGACAAGTTTGGAGCGTTATCAGCCTGAGCCACGACGGGCCTAGCGTGCCAGCTACGAGCCACTGAAGAGTCGGCAAGAAAGCTTCGAAGAGTTCCAACAGGTACGGGGTCGACGGAGAGCCACGATGAGCTGCACCACAAAGCGCGTTGCCTAGGCGGTGGGCGCCTGCGCGACTCTCGCGATATGGCCTTGACAACATGACGGGCCGAGCTGTTGCAGAGTCCGACAAACAAGGGCGTTCACAAAGGCCGCGCCGAAACCGAGCGCGCTCAACACCTCGGTCGCCGTTTCCCACTTCGCCATCGCGACCCACATATTGGGAACCTGGGGAGCGCAAGTGACCATCATGGGTAGCCAGACGGCCGCTCTAAGGAGCCACCCTCCCATGTCCTCTGTCCATTCTTCTTCGTCCAAGCCTTCTGCCTGCAGCGTGGCTTTTCGACGCGAAGCCTTGGAGGCAGCTTTCTCCGAGGCCTTCTGCCTCGCCTTCTGCGCGGCCGCCCTTGCACGTTCCAGGCGGGCGTGCCAGGACAACTCCGTCGCGGGATCTTTGCGCCCGAGTCCGAAGTGGCTGCCGCATACGTGCTGCAAGTAATGGTATTTCCCCAACGGGGACTGCTGTCGCTGGGTTGCTGACATTTTCTCGAACCGATATGAAGCATTCACTACAGCGCGATGCGTGGCCAGCGAAATCGACGCCCGCACCATGCCCCTGAGGACTGTTGCGTCGCGCGGTCGCTGGAGTCTTGCAGCCAAAACTGACTGGAGGAGGCATGAGAGCAGTCAGGAAACAAGGAAGAGATCATGGAGGCAGGATTGAAGTGTCCGTTTTGAGGGGCGCTCACAACGAACAGTGCCGAGCCCCTGGTGGGGCCTTCCCAAGCCTCTCTCGGGGCTCTCTTCGAAGCGTCAGAAATCTTCTTGGGCTCCTTTGGGGGGTCCTCCCGGCTTGAAGGCCGTCTTGGTAGGGGCCTCGAGGGCGCCACCACGGAACCAAAAAGAGCTTCGTGGTGTTCGTTGTGAGGGGCGCTCAAAACGAAGAGTGCGTGGCCTCACGCGGGGTCTTCCTAGGCGTCTCTCTGGGCTCT